ATAAAGACTACTGGGGTGCTTTAGGGTGTGGGAGGTAAGAACCCCCAGGACAGGTCTGGTGTCTCCTCAGGGATCCCATGTGCCCACTGCCTGGAGGCCCTGGGATCCTAGGTCCTGTGCAGAGGTGCCACTCAGGCCTAACAACCAGGAACAGCGCTGGAGGGTGGGTCCCACAGAGGCAAGAGCTGATGTGGACCCCCTAGGTGGAGAGACAGGAGGCCGAACCCTCAGGTTCTTGGGCAGTGCTCCCCCAAGGCAAAAGCCCCTTCCCCATCTGTCTCCCTCTTTTTTTGTTTTTCGACAAGGTCTCACTATTATAGTTCAGGGTGGCCTAGAGTTTACTGTGTAGCCCAGACTGGCCTCAAACTCACAGTGACCCTCCTGCCTGAGCCTTCCAAGTGCTGGAATTATAGGCTTGCAACACAACACAGCAAGGCCCCTTCTCTGAGATGTGCATGTGTGCTCAGGACAGTGGACAGCACATCAGCATACACCTGTGGCAGAAATAGGGAATCGTGGGCTGGGGTGATGGCTCAGTAGAATAAGTGCTTCCATGGCAAGCGCAACGGCCTCAGTTCAATCCCCGTTTCCGAAAAAAAAAAGCAAAAAACAAGAAATTAAATTCTGGTGCAAATTTCTGGGGCTGGAGAGATGGCTCAGTGGTCTAAAGCACCTACTTGAAACAAGCTTGGCAAAACACAGGGACCGCGGTTCGATCCCCAGCACCACATGCCAGCCAGACCCGCCCCCTGGTGGGCTGAGCTGGCCACACACACACACACAATAAATAAATGTAATAAATAAATATTTAATTAACCACTAAGAAGAATATATGCAGTGTATTATTTGTTGAAACTGTCCTTCCGATATGATTTGAAACTGTCTCATTGCTATCTGTTTGTCAATAAAACTTTGAAAAAATAAATAAATAAATATATAAAAAAAAAAAAGAAACCCTTTCCTGAAAAAAAAGAAATAGGGAATCGTGACTGCTGCACCCACAGGGGAGAGTGAAGATTTGCTGACTTCTACCAAAGAAAAAGAGTTTTCAGGGCCGGCCAAATAGCTCAGCGGATTAAAGTGCCTGCAAGTAGGCGCAGGGGCCAGGGGTTTGATCCCCGGGCCTGCTGTACCAGCCCTGCCAGCCCTGCCATGACAGCCCTGTCCCCGGGGTGCACTGAGATGGCAATTGAGACTGGGCATGGTGGCACGCACCTATAATCCCAGTTCTTGGGAGGCTGTAAACAGGTGGATCACTACAAGTCTGATCTAGTAGTGAGACCCTGAACACCCTGTAGACTCTGCCCTAAAAAAAAAAAAAAAAAAAAAAAAAGAATTTTCAAGACACGTGAGCTCATTTGAGTTTTGTTGGGCAGAAATGAAAAGACATGTTTAGCAAGAAGAGGAACCTTGTGGTCTGAAGTAGGGGTTTTGTGTGGACTTGGCGTATCCTTAAGATGGGACTCTAGGTTGTGTGTCCCTCGTGTGCCTGCCTGGCAGCTGTGAGAGTGCTTTGCACCTTTGTACAAAGCCAAGATCTGCCACCTCCTTTCTGCAGGAGGACGGGTCCCAGGGGAGCCTGAGCCAGGCCTGCTGTGTCCTTAAGACTCTGAGGCCATCTTTTGGAGTGAGTTTCCTGGAAGAGAAAAAGGCTTGAGTAACGTTTGTGTCCTAAAGCTGGAGTTTCTCTTAAAAGCATAACTTTAAAATTGTGATTTTCCAGGTCTCCTTCTTACGTACTTTCATTGCTTTGATCCTATTCGTTTCCCCTGGGTCTCTGGTCCTGTATTCCTGAGGGTTGCAGGGCAGCCAGAGATTACGCCCTACAGCGGCTATTGGGCCTGCCAGCCAGGGTCTGAGAATCCCATCCATACTGAAGCAAAGGAAACATAGGAACAGCTGGTTCTGTCATTTGAAGAATGTTATCCTTTGATGATCAGATGTTTTGGAAAATCAGGACACAGCAGGTCGCTGACACTTAAGGCAGAGCCTGACGTGGCACTAACTTCGGTCCTGCAGGAGACATGGCTGCAGAGTTGTCAGGAGTACGCAGAATTTGCTCTATTAATAGCACAGGTGAGCTCAGTTCAGTTGGGAGCAGAGAATTCTGAAAGATAGAAATGTTACAGCATGTTAAATGGACAGGGGCCGAAAATTAAAAGTAGAATAATGGTGACTAGTTGCCCTCAAAGTGATAGGAGCAAGATAAATTAAGAGCCTATTTGACGTAAGTTTTTAAGGTTCACCTCCGTTCTGAGCTATATATATATTACGGGGTCTCACTACACAGATCAGACTCCTAGCTATCTTCCTGTTTTCAGCCTCCCAAGCTCTGGGATTACAGGCCCACGCCACTGTGCCCAGTCTCAAGCACTGCCTCAGAGTGCCCCAGGGGTAGGGGCAGGGCCCACCCAGTGTGCCCAGGATCCAACCCCGGGCCCTGCGCCTGCCTAAACAAGCACTTCAGTCCACTGCGCTAGGCTATCTGGCTGGCCCTTGTTCTGAAGTATTTATCTAAGTATAGCAGACAGTATTTAAGAACACACAGGAAATCTAATCTTTTAAAATGGCCAGGTGATAAGCTAAATAAAGATATGTGTGGTGGGGCTGGTGAGATGGCTCAGTGGTCTAAAGCACCTACTTAGAACAAGCTAAGCTCAAGCAAAGCACAGTGGACCTCGG